GGGGTGCCTGGGTGGCTCAGTGGGTTAAAGCCTCTGCCTTTGGCTCAGGTCATGATCCCAGGGTCTTGGGATCCAGCCCCACATTGGGCTCTCTGCTCAGCGGGGAGCCTGCTTCCTCCTCTCTCTCTCTGCCTGTCTCTCTGCCTACTTGTGATCTCTGTCTGTCAAATGAATAAATAAATAAATAAATAAATAAATAAATAAATAAATAAAATGATGCATCACATTAACAAAAAGAAGGATAAAAACCACATGATTATCTCAATAGATGCAAAAGTATTCGACAAAATACATATCTATTTATGATAAAACTGTCAACAAACTGGATATACAGGAAACACCCCTCAACATAATAAAGGCTACATATGAAAAACCCACAGCTACATACTCAGTGGTGAAAACTGAAAGCCACTCTCTAAAATCAGGAAAAAGACAAAGATGTCTACTTTCACTACTTTTATTCAACAAAGTACTGAAAGTCCTAGCCATAGCAATCAGACAAGAAAAAGAAATAAAAGGCATCCAAATTGGTAAGGAAGAAGTAAAACTGTCACTGTTTGCAGATGACATCATACTATATGTAGAAAACCACAGGATTCCACCAAAACAATATTAGGATTAATAAATGAATTCACTAAAGTTGCAGGATAGAAAACTGATATAGAGAAATCTGTTGCATTTGTATACAAAGTATAATAACACAGTAGCGGAAAGAGAAATAATAATAATAAAAAAAACCAATTCTACTTACAATTGCATCAAAAGAATAAATAACCTTTAAATAAACTTAACCCAGGAGGTGAAAGGCTTATACTCTGAAAACTATAAGACATCAATGAAAGAAATTGAAGATGACACAAATGGAAAGACATACCATGCTCATGGATTGGAAGAAGTAATCTTAAAATGTCCATAATAGTCAAAGAAATCTACAGTCAATGCAATCTCTATCAAAGTACAAACAGCATTTTTTTTTAAAAACAAAACTGGAGTAATACTAAAATTTGTATGGAACCACAAAAGACCTTGAATAGCCAAAGCAATCTTGGGAAAGAGCAAAGCTGGAGGTACCACAATCTCAGATTTTAAGATATATTACAAAGCTATTGCAATCAAAACAGTATGGTACTGGCACAAACGTAGACCCATAGATAAAGGGAATAGGATAGAGAGTCCAGAAATAAACCCACAGTTACACTGTCAAACTGTGACAAAGGAGGCAGGAATATACAAACTATAGAAATGAACCATGAAAGTATAGTTTAGAGAGCAGGATGTACAATGGGGAAAAGACAGTCTCTTCAACAAATGGTTTTGGGAAAACTGAACAGCTACATGTAAAAGAATGAAACTGAACCACTTCCTTACACCATGTACAAACATAGACTCAAAATGGATTAAAAACCTAAATGTGAGACTTGAAATCATAAAACTTCTAAGAGAAAACAGGCAGTAATCTCTTAGACAATAACCTTAGCAACATGTTTATGGAATCTTCTCAGGCAAAGGGAGTAAAAGCAAAAATAAACTACTGGAGTACACCAAAATAAAAAGTTTTGCACAACAAAGGAAACTAACAACAAAATGGAGAGGTAACTTCCTGAAGGAGAGAAGATATTTGCAAATGACATGCCTGATAGGGCTTAAAATCCAAAATATATAAAGAATTTGTACAACCCAACACCAAAAGACACAACACAAATACTCCAATTAAAAATGGGCAGAGGATCTGAATAAACATTTTTCCAAAAACGACATACAGATGGCCAGCATATGCATGAAAAGATGCTCAACATCACTCATCATCAGGGAAATGCAAATCAAAACCACAATGAGATACCACCGCACACCAGTCAGAATGGCTTGTATCAAGAAAACAAGAAATTACAAGCGTTGATGAGGATGTGAAGAAAAGAGAAGCCCTGTGCACTGTTGGTGAGAATGTAAATTGGTGCAACTAATGTGGAAAACAGTACAGAGGTTCTGCAAAAAAATTAAAAATACCATATAATCTATTAATTCCACTTGTGATTATTTATTTGAAGAAAATGAAAACACTAATTTGAAAAGATATGTGTACCCCTATGTTTACTGAAGCATTATTTATACTAGCCAAAATATGGAAGCAACCCAAGTGTCCATCAATAGATAAATGGATAAAGATAAATGGTGGTACATATATATGAAGGCATATTATCCAGCCATTTGAAAAGAATGAGATCTTGCCATTTGCGACAACACAGATGGACCGAGAGGCTGTTACGCTAAGGGAAGTAAGTTAGACAGAGAAAGACAAAAGCCATATGAATTCACTTTCATGTGGACTCCAAAAAAAAAACCAGGAGAACTGATGGTATTTTTAAAATTACAATTTTTTTTTGTTTTAACAAAATTATTTTTTGTTTAACAAACAAATTATTTTTGTTTAACAAACGAATGAACAAAAAACAGAAAGAGTCATACATTCAACAAATTAATAATTTAACAAATTATTTTTGTTTAACAAACAAACGAACGAACAAAAAACAGAAACAGAGTCATACATTCAGCAAAAAAACTGATAGTTGCCAGAGGTGAGGTGTGTGGGGAATATGTGAAGTGGCAGAGGGAATTAAGACATATAAGCTCTGAGTTAGTAAATTAATAAGTCATGGAGATGAAAAGCACAGCACAGGGAATCTAGTCAATATCATTGTGAAAATCTTGTATGATGACAGATGTTTACCACACTAGTTGTGGTAAGCACTGAGTAATGTGTAGAATTTTTAAATCACTTTGTTATACACCTGAACTAATAGAAATTGTATGTCAACTATATTGCAACAATGATAATACATAAATAGTAATAATACAATGATAATAAATAATAATAATAAATACAAATATTTCAAGTAGCACATTGCTGGAGCGTAGTGAAGATGTTGAACGGTGGAAGCAGAACCATGTGACTGAGTGTCCCTGCGTGTGTCTGATGGTGAGACTGGCCAGAGGTGCTGCTGAGCCCCAGTGGCGCTGATGCATGCGTGGCCCCAAGTGGGGGTGGGGCTTTCCTGAGCTTGAGCCTTCACTGCAGGTCAGTGCCTTGACACACATACTCTGTCCTTTATTTTAAAAAAAGATTTTATTTATTTGGGAAAGAGACAGAGGACAGCAGCAGGGGAGGAGTGGGAGAGGGAGAAGCAGAGTCCCTGTTGAGCACTTTCTTAAAGCTATTTTCCCTCTGGAGAAAACAAGTGGATGCCAACAATGAGGAAAAACAGTGGCTATTTTCATTCTATTAGTGTTTTTGTTTTGTTTTGTTAGGAGAACAATATATGTGAAATTAAAATAAGAATTTAGGGAAAGGAGGGGTGCCTGGATGGCTCAGTTGGTTAAGGGTCTGCCTTCAGCTCAAGTCCTGATCTCAGGGCCCTGGGATTGAGCCCCGTATAGGGTTTCCTGTTCAAGGAGGAGCTGGCTTCTCCCTCCTGACCCTCCCACTGCTCCTGCTCTCTCTCTCTCTCTCTCAAATAAATAAAATCTTTTTAAAAAATTTAAAAAAAGAACTTAGGGAAAGGAACTCTTGATAAAAGAATATTAGAATGACAATCTCTTCCGAAATATAAACTGTGTGTGGATTCATGAGGACATTAAGTTCTTTCAAGAATAGAATTGAAAAAACACTTTTATGCTGATTTAAAGAGTTGATTATTAGAAAACTCGAGTTCAAGAGTTACTGGCTGAATAATTTTTGTTTTCATTCATTTGATCATGTAATATGCTCATTTTTAAATGAAGTATGCCATTTACTGTAGATATTTATTTAGTTCTTTCCAGATTATATCCTCTAGAGAAAAAAGTTTAATCTTAGGAAATTTAGCAGCTAATGGCAGAGCAAGAAAATCGTATTGTAGATGAAATTTGTCTTTACTTCTGCCATTTTCATTCCTTTCCTGGTTTTAGCTCTACCTTGCTGTGATATCCCCAATACTTCTACTTTGTTCATCTGGATTTCTTTCGCTTATGAAAATCAGAATTTAGTACAATTCTGTCATTTTAGTAAAATGACTTCAATGATTTATGATCTCCCTCACCACAAGAATAATCTGCATATAATCGCCATCAAGCTGATGATTTCCAAATGTCATTGAACATCAGGCAGAATATCAGGGGGTTGATGGGCCTTTGTTATATGCTTAAAATAGCCCCATGATTAACGTGTGTGTGTTGTATCTGTGAACTCAACAAAGCATTGACAGCAGTGTGCAAAGGAGAAAAACATTTGTCTTTAAAAATCAGAATTCAGAGTTCTGGGCAGTTGGTATAGATTTGAACCAAACAGATGTGGCCACATGTTTGACAAACAAGGTGGTGATAACCTGAGAAAAAATAACACCATTAGCACTTCCCAGTACCATGTACATATAACAAATGTGTTAATATGATATTATCTTACTCATTAAAGAAGGTACAGAAGGTACAGATGATTTCAGGAATCCTCAGTTAGCTGTTCGCACATGTTAACATATGTTATGGTGAATAGTTGCAAGTGATCAATTAATTTGCATCTCTTTCAGCATATTCCAAAATTTTAATTTATGTGGCTTTCCTATTACTGTTTGGTGAGGCAAGCTTTTTTTTTTTTTTTAAAGAAAATTTCATTTTATACTCTTAAGAATGCAAAATCTTTTGGTTTAATGGTGACCAGCAGACCCACAACTCTATACTCCTAACAATACACCTGACAATAATAGTACCATAGATCTACTTAAAATGCTTTAAAGTAAATACAATATAATGAGAAAATTTTAAGTTGTGATTTTAATGTTTGAAAAACAGATAATGGACATACACAATAAAGTTACAAAATATATAAATGGCATGTAGTTCTTCTAATCTGTTCCCATCTCCCTACTGCCCAATGCAAATATTGCTCTCATTTTCCTCTGTATCTTCTGGAGTTGGCCTCTGCATTCCATTTATTTCTAATGTGTGCTATTTAATTTATTTATTTACTTTAGATGACTCCGGAATTGATGATAAAAGCATGCACTTTTTATACGGGACATTTAGTAAAGACCCACTTTTGGTAAGAATGTGATTTTCGCATCCTATTCCCTTGTGTTTTTATTCTTAATATTCTCTATAGGAAGAACAACTCATTTTTGGCCATTCTGATTTTATCTATTTAATCATGTAGCCACCATTTTGCATTCTATATTTCTTTTATTTTTATTTAGCATTTACTTAGTTAAAATATGTTCTTTACTTCTTCAAGGTATTGCTTTTTTTCGAAGTGTAAGTCTACAATCCCTTCATCTGAAACCCTTGGAGATATGTTTCGAAATTTAGATTTTTTTTCTTAAAAAAATTTTACAGAGGTAATTTCTACACATTCTATGTATTATATAACATCTTCAGTGGTGTCTGGGGCCCCATGTTGGAACCAAACATATTAAAACATATTAGTATTTCTATTATATATGTTATATATGTATATAAAATTAAATGTCTATGAAATGAAATTGTAAAAAGACTACGAATAGCTATGTGTCAAGTCCAGAGAGTTTTTGATGCAAAATTACTTTAGGTTTTTTAATTTTTATTTGTTTACTTTTAAGCTTTATTTATTTACTTTAGAGAGAGAGAGAGTGTGAGGGGAGCAGGGAGAGGGAGAGAGAATCTGCACTGAGTGTAGAGCCTGTTGTGGGGCTTGAACCCAGGACCCCAAGATCATGACTTGGGCTGAAATCTAGAGCTGGATGTTCAACCAGCCGAGCTACCTCAGGCGCCCTGAGGTAAAATTACTTTAGGTCAGGTCTAGTTTTGCCTCTAAATGGGTTTTGAAAAACACCAGGTTACAAAAAATACCTTCCGAATTTCAGACCTTTACTGGGTTTTAGAAATATAGCAAAGGTAAGTACAAGCTCAAAGGAAACACTAAAAGTAGCTAGAACAGTAACGATAATCGAACAATTTCTTTCTATGCTTTGGTATTTGAAGCAATAAAGGAGGTATTGTTACTCCTTCTCCCTCTCCATTTATTAGGAATGTATTGCCACTGATATTATCAAAATACTATTTTTCTGTATTTACTGCCTATAGCACATGGAGAGACATAGCAATACCTCTTATAAGTGAAGATGAACTTCTGGCTGAAAAGATGGAAAAAGCGAGGGAATATGACAATTTCAGACTTCAAAAATACTTCTTTCATCTCTGGCACTCTTATACAGAAGGTCAAAAAAAACTACTTACAGGTAAATCCTTGCATAGTAATGGTTAGTTTTTGTATTGCTTATTCAAAGAATTAACACACTTAACAATTAAGCAGTTTGCGGGTGGCTGGGTGGCTCAGTGGGTTAAGCCTCTGCCTTAAGCTCAGGTCATGACCTCAGGATCCTGAGATGGAGCCCTGCTCAGCGGGGAACCTGCTTCTCCCTCTCACTCTGCCTGCCTCTCTGCCTAGTTGTGATCTCTCTCTCTCTCTCTGTCAAATAAATAAATAAAAATCTTAACAAAAGATTAAGCAGTTTTTACTGAGAATTTATTATTATGTCTAGAGAACTGTCATGAAATGTCATGAAAAGCCACTAATTAAATGTCTTACATTTAAATGAGATTTGTCGGGGCGCCTGGGTGGCTCAGTGGGTTGAGCTGCTGCCTTCGGCTCGGGTCGTGATCTCAGGGTCCTGGGATCGAGTCCCGCATCGGGCTCTCTGCTCAGCAGGGAGCCTGCTTCCCTCTCTCTCTTTCTGCCTGCCTCTCTGTCTACTTGTGATCTCTGTCTGTCAAATAAATAAATAAAACCTTTAAAAAAAAATGAGATTTGTCTCAAAGAGTTTTCTTGTAACAGAAAACAGGCATGTTTGAAATAAAAATTCTGTACGGATTTGTGTGATATATGTACAGATATAAATAGAGATCTACTATCATCATTTTTACTCAGAGAAAGCTGGTATATGATAGGTACCAAAACTGACTATTTCTTGCAGAGAATTTTCCATTCCTTAGAGATATTTCATTTAATGGATACATGAGGAAACAAAGAAAATGCATTTTCCTTTCCTTAAATCCTTGATAGTTGTAAAAAATAGAGAGGGCATGTACATGATCTTTGAGGCAGGAATAGGGAACCCCAGCATTTTGCTCAGATTTTCGCCACTTACCAAATACTGGTTTATGGCTGTTGCAAATCAGAGAATCATTTCCTCTTGATACCTCAGTCACAGTGAGCCCTCTGAAGGTTTTTTTTTCTTCTTCTTTTTTTAGAGAGGGAGAGAGAGAGAGAGAGCAAGAGAGAGTGTGCACATGGGAGCATGGGGGTGGGGTGGGGAGGGGAAGTGGGAGAGGGAGAGAGAATCCTAAGCAGACTCCATACCCCGAGGTGGGGCTCCATCTCATGACCCTGAGATCGCAACCAGAGTGGTAATCAAGAGTTGAATGCCCCCCAGGTGCCCTCTGAAGGTTTTAAAGTAAGATTGATGGGCCTCTAATTCAGAGAGGAAGCAACTGGCTTCAGTTAAGAAGCCAGTGCCCTCGGGGCACCTGGGCGACTCAGTGGGTTAAAGCCTCTGCCTTCGGCTTAGGTCATGATCTCAGGGTCCTGGGATCCGGGAGCCTGCTTCCTCCTCTCTCTTCTGCCTGCCTCTCTGCCTACTTGTGATCTCTATCTGTCAAATAAATAAACAAAATCTTAAAAAAAAAAAAAAAAGTTAAAAAAAAAGAAGCCAATGTCCTCTTCATTGGTGTCCCCAGGGCCTGCCTTAGTCATCCTTCTTCCTGGCCTGACCCCTGTATTTGAGCTTTGGACCCTTGGTTAAAACATAAAATGGAGCGATTTATTTAATCATAGGGCATTTAACTAAATCAGAATACTGCCTTATAATTGTATTTCTGTGATTAAGTTTAGGAGTTCTGGTTTTATAAAGAACAGTTTGATTAAAAAAAGAAAAGATATGTATCCTATATATATCCTGATGTGTTATTACATCTATTACATCTTTATTTTTATTTTTTTAAGATTTTATTTATTTATTTGACAGATACAGCGAGAGAGGGAACACAAGCAGGGGGAGTTGAGAGAGAGAGAAGCATGCACAAGAGAGGGAGAAGCAGGCTTCCTGCTGAGCAGGGAGCCCAATGTGGGACTTGATCCCAGGACCCGGGGATCATGACCTGAGCTAAAGGCAAACGCTTAACCAGCTGAGCCACCCCAGGCATCCCTCCATCTCTATTTCCAAGGGCAAATGTGATGTTTACAGGTTAATAAAGTTTCAGGAGTAGAGATGTACTGCTGCCGAAAGTAATTAATTTTAGATATAATTAAAATCAAACAAAACCCGCCAGACACAATATTAGTTTGTATTATAAACATGATAGAATATTAAACATTGTTTTTAGGAAACATCTTTATATATATACAATAATCTAATAACTTTTCTTTAGTCACACTAGTGCGGATACGGAGGATGTGCCGCCGTTACAAGCTATTGGCTATCCTAACCAGGTGGAGGGATGAAGCTCAACATAAGTATAAGAAGAGAGAAGAGGAGCTGGTATGGTATCTCAGAAACTTAATTTGTTTAGAAACTGAATTTGGGGGCGCCTGGGTGGCTCAGTGGGTTAAGCCGCTGCCTTCGGCTCAGGTCATGATCTCAGGGTCCTGGGATCGAGTCCCGCATCGGGCTCTCTGCTCGGCAGGGAGCCTGCTTCCCTCTCTCTCTCTCTCTCTCTCTCTCTCTGCCTGCCTCTCTGTCTACTTGTGATCTCTCTCTGTCAAATAAATAAATAAAATCTTTAAAAAAAAAAAAAGAAACTGAATTTGGTTGTTCTATTGATGTTGCTTCAGATAATAATGCCATGCGTGGAAAGTGTGAAAATATTGAATATTAGGCACTTAAAAAAAAGATTTTACTTATTTATTTGAGAGAGAGCGTGTGTGCATGGACGGGGTGGAGAGACAGAGTGAGAGGGAGGAGGAGAAGCAGACTCCCTGCTGAGTGGGGAGCCGGAGGCACGACTCGGTGGGGGGGGCTCCATCCCAGGACCCTGAGACCATGAACTGAGCTGAAGACAGGTGCTTAACAGACTGAGCCACCCAGGTGCCCCAATATTATATAATTTTGATGGGGTCTTTATTCTCTTAATTGAATAATTTAAATTTTCCTTCAGCTACGAAAAATATTTTCTAATAAATTCTGTTGTTTCATTTCAACTCTGAACACAGAAAAAATTTCAGCATTTTGTTTAAAGTTATTGGTAAAAACGAAGAATTTTGTTGAAGTAAGTGTTTAGATAGATATAGATGTCTAAAATAGAAGAGAGGGGCGCCTGGGTGGCTCAAGGGGTTAAAGCCTCTGCCTTTGGCTCAGGTCATGGTCCCAGGGTCCTGGGATCAAGCCCTGCATCCAGCTCTCTGCTCAGCAGGGAACCTGCTTCTTCCTCTCTCTCTTTGCCTGCCTCTCTGCCTACTTGTGATCTCTGTCTGTTAAATAAAAATAAATAAAATCTTTAAAAAAAATTAAAATGGAAGAGAAACCATTTGATATGATAAAGACTGAATAAATTTTTTCTGTCCTAGATAAGATTAGATTGTTATTCTTTTTCAACCTTCAATATAATAAATTATAATTTTAATATAAATTATTTTAAAAATTACTAAATTGCTAAACTTATGGGGGTGCCTGGGAGGCTCAGTGGGTTAAGCCATGCCTTCAGCTCAGGTCATGATCCCAGAGTCCTGGGATTGAGCCCCACATCGGGCTCTCTGCTCAGCGGGGAGCCCGCTTCCCTCTCTCTCTGCCTACTTCTCTGCCTACTTGTGATCTCTGTCTGTCAAATAAATAAATAAATAAATAAATAAATAAAATCTTTAATTTGCTAAACTAAAGGATCATTCTTAACTGGGACACTTTAATTAAAGCAATTAAAATAGAGGACCCGGGATGCCTGGGTGGCTCAGTTGGTTAAGCAGCTGCCTTCGCTCAGGTCATGATCCCAGCGTCCTGGGATCGAGTCCCACATCGGGCTCCTTGCTCATCAGGGAGCCTGCTTCTCCCTCTGCCTCTGCCTGCCATTCTATCTGCCTGTGCTTGCTCTCTCTCCCTCTCTCTCTCTGACAAATAATTAAATAAAATCTTTAAAAAAAAATAAAATAAAATAGAGGACCCAAGCAAATTCCTCCAAACTTAAAAATATTTCTGGTTTGCTTAAGCTGTTAATACATTATTACTTAATGTTGTTTTAGAACACTCACAGTAACTATTAGGATCAGACATAGAAAAATTGATTTTTTTTAGTTATATTACTTCATAGGTAATGTTTTATCAATAGTCTTAAAAGACAAAGTTGGGATAAATAAGAAAGAGAAAAATAAGAAATTAAACTCGTTTAGTCGTCACCCAGTGGAGGGCAGGATCAATGTCCTCCCACCGCTAACGGGTTCAGATGCTCACACTGATGATACTACACACGTACCAAGAGGGTATACAAAGATTTATGCTGGAAACAGTGCTAGAGTCTATAGAGGACACTGAGATGCATAAAGCACAGTTCTTGCTCTCTGCAAATCTGTCCCCTACTGGTATCATGGTGTTCTTCTAGGATGTCCTCCAGCATTTGTAGAGTACACGTTCAATGTTACTAGCTCATGTTCAGTGTTGCCAGTTCAACAGTCTGCTTGTTCAGTGCTCGCTTGTCTGTCCTTCCTGCCTCCCTTTCCCTTTTTCTTCCTTCCTTCCTTCCTTCCTTCCTTCCTTCCTTCCTTCCTTCCTTTTTCTTTCTTTCTTTCTTTCTTTCTTTCTTTTCTTTCTTTCTTTCTTTCTTTCTTTCTTTCTTTCTTTCCTTCTTTCTTTCTTTCCTTCTTTTCTTTCTTCCCTTCTTCCCTTCTTTCTCTTTCTTTCCTCCCTTCCCTCCTTCTTTCTTTCTTCTTAGATTTATTTGAGAGAGAGAGAGAGCATTGGGGGAGGCAGGATGGGCAGAGGGAGAGAGAGACAAGGAATCTCAAGTAGACCCCCCACTGAGCAGGGAGCCTGATGTGGGGCTTGATCTCAAGACCTGAGCCAAAATCAAGAGTCAGATGCTTCCCTGACTGAGCCACCCAGGCGCCCCTGTTCAGTGATTTTTGACACTGTGCACTAAGCTAGCATTTTGATCCTGGCTCCCCCCAAGCCTGATCAGTGATTGTCTAATGGCGAAATAAGCAACTGTACATGACTAGTCTGCCCCGTTCACACCCCGCTTGAACTGAACATCTCGGAGGCAGTATTGTTTTCTTAATCACCCCCATACCCTGAGCATAATGTGGTGCATGCAATAGTTGATACATATTAATATAAATAATAACACATAACGTAGTATTATCCTTCATATAGATGTATACTGTACAGTTAGTTGGGTGTTTAGAGAAAACATTTACTTCTAGCTATGTGATTTCCTGGCCTAACAATCATTCACTTAAGTGGGTGAAGTGAGCATGGCTGGTGTGTGCTGCGCAGAGAAAGCAGGAAACACTTCTATGCACTAATCTTCTCCAACGTGTGCCCTTCTTTCGTGTGTGTGTGTGACATTTATTTATCCTTATGGCTTTTTCTCGATTATGCAGGTTTTTTTTTAAAGATTTTATTTATCTATTTGACAGACAGAGATCACAAGTAGGCAGAGAGGCAGGCAGAGAGAGAGAGAGAAGCAGGCTCCCTGCCAGGCAGAGAGCCCGATGTGGGGCTCGATCCCAGGACCCTGGGATCATGACCTGAGCTGAAGGCAGAGGCTCCAACCCACTGAGCTACCCAGGCGCCCCTTAATTATGCAGTTTTAAGGAACGTATTCAGCATCAGAATGGGGACTTCTTGTAACAGTAAATCAGGCAAGACCCCAAATGCTTTCCTCTGCCTCTCCTTTTTTATCTCTGTGCTAACCGCCACCTTTCCATACCCCAAATATCCTGTCAGTCATTACCAGAACCTTGACTCTGCGGGTTTCAGCTTCTTCATCTAAAAGAGGAGGCTGGACCACATCATCGAGGTTGCTGCCTAGGCCACTGGTGTCTGACAACACATGGGAATGATCTCTAATGCTCTGGTGGTCTGGAGCATATCGCCCTGCTATGGACAAAGGCAGTTTGCACAGCGGGGATGACAATAATACAGAATGTTTATTTGGTTCTATCATGGTGTCGAGTGCTGTGCTTTATACATATCTCATTTAACCTTCACAATGATGACATGGAATTTGCCGGTTATTTTCATGGCAGATATTAAAACATGAACTTCAGTTGCTGAAATGGAGAAGCAAGTTAAAACGCAACGTCGTTGCTAAGGAAGAATTCCTATTTCCTGAACACGGTGCGTCTGAAGTCTCTCTTGGAAGCGAGGTTCCTGAATGTGACATTTCGCTGTTCCCCGAAAGAGTGATCTCACGGGTTCGTATGAATTCATGTATCGTAACTAGTCATTTTCACAATGTTTATGTAAAGAGTGGTTTTATAAACCTGACATGAATGATGGAAATCCTATTTCAAAGAAACATGTTTTTTTTACAACTAGCTGTGGGTTCAACTCAGATTTTTAGAGGTCATCCTTTTGGATGGCTGTAAGATGACTCCAGCAATCAAAAGTGGAGAAAGTAAAGCTGCAGGAAATAAGAAAGGAAGGAAAACATTCCTCCTTCAAGCATACATTGTCATTTAAGGTGGAACAGGTTTTAGCTACTGCAGCACACACTTTTTCATTTTTAATCCCTAATCTTTTAAATTTCACATGATGCCTTCACTCTGGGATGTAAATGGGCTTGTCTTAGTGCACCTTTCTTTTTCTTTTTCTTTTTTTTTTAAAGATTTTATTTATTTATTTATTTATTTGTCAGAGAGAGAGAGGACAAGCAGGCAAAGTGGCAGGTAGAAGCAGAGAGAGAAGCAGGCTCCCCCCTGAGCAAGGAGCCCGATGCGGGACTTGATCCCAGGACCCTGGGATCATGACCTGAGCCAAAGGCAGCGGCTTAACCAACTGAGCCACCCAGGTGTCCCTTAGTGCACCTTCCAATTAGATGAAATATTTGTAGTATCTTTTTCCCCTAGATTGTGAATTCATAGAGAGAATCATGTAGTTACAGCTTACAGTTCACTGAATTGATCTCTGAAAAATCAGCCATAATTCCAACTATAAGTTATATTCTCTCCTAATTTGATAGATAAATAATTTCTTTGTGAGACTGCCTGAGAAATCGTAGAAGAGTTATAAAATATCACCTTATTCTGATGGATGAAAGCTTCACATTATAAAATCCCATGCGTTAAATACAACCTGCTGAATGTGCAGAATTAAGCTCAAGTTCTATTTGGGGACAGGGTATCTATGCGTCTACGTCTAGTCCAGCATTTTACGTATTGCGTGGAGTTAGGATAAGGATATTTTCGCCCATAATTTCCTCTTTATAAAGTGTCTATTCTATCTGGTTCATTTTGAAATTGGAATTCCCATAATTTGCTTGCTGGTTTGTAATAGCTCTTTGTATATTGGTAATATATCAACCTTTTGCCTGGAACATATCAGAGATTTCCCTCCTACACCTGATGCTTGCCTTCCGTTTTGTCTGTACAGTCTTTCCGTGAGAGAAGCTTCAGAGCTCTGTATAACCAAGCCTAGCACTCTTGCCCTAATTATTTCTCTTTTTGTGTCATATTAATATGTTATTCTTAGTGGTTTTTCTAAGCCACATCACACTCTTACACTGATACGGCTGTTCTTTTGTCTTTGAATTCTCACACTGTTCACTGCTAAAGTTTCTTTGTTTACTTTATCAGTGGCTGCGCTGGGGTTTTCAATTCATCACAGATTACACCTTCACATAATTTTCTACCACTTTACATATAAGGTAATATCCTAACTAGAATATGCTTTCATTTTCCTTCTCCTGTGCTTCCCACTGTTATTGCCATGCATTATATCGCCAGGTGTTTATAAACCCTATAATGTATTATTTTTGCTTTAAATAGTCAATTATACTTTATTTAGCATATCCTTCTTTTGTTATTTATTTTTTATTGATGTGTAATTAACATAGTGTTTTATTAGTTTCAGGTGTACAATGTAATGATTCAACAGTTCAGTGCATTACTCGGTGCTTGTCACAATAAGTGTGCTCTTAATCTGCTTGATTCGTTTCATCCATCCCTCTACCCACCTCTCCTCTGGCAACCACCAGTTTGTTTTCTGTACTTAAAAGTCTGATTTTTTGTTTGCCTTTTTTTTCTTTTTGTTCATTTGCTTTGTTTCTTACATTCCACATATGAGTGTATTTCTCCAACTTATTTCACTTAACATTGTACCCCCTAAGTCTATCCATGTTTTGCAAATGACAAGATCTTGTTCTTTTTTATGGCTTAGTAATATTCCATTGTACATCTACTACTTCTTTAACCGTTCATCTAGTGATGGACACTTGAGTTGTTTCCATATTTCAGCTATTGTAAATAATGCAATAAACATAGGGATATATATGTCTTTTGGAATTAGTGTTTTCATTTTCTTTGGGTGAATACCCAAGTAGTGGAATTACCGTATCATGTGGTAATTCTATTTTTAATTTTTTAAGGAACTCCAGTTTTTCACAGTGGTTATACCAACTTACATTCCTACCAATAGTGCATGAGGGTTCCAAAACTTGCTGTTTCTTGTGCATTTGATTTTAGCCATTCTGGCAAGTGTGAGGTGATATCTCATTGTGGTTTTGATTTGCATTTCCCTGATGATCCATGATGCTGAGCATCTTTTCATGTGTTTGTTGGCATCTGTATGTCTTCTTTGGAGAAATGTCTGTTCATATCTTTTGCCCATTCTTAATTTGAAAATGATTTGTCTTTTTGATGTTGAGTTGTATAATTTCTTTGAATACTTTGGATATTAACCCCTTTTCAGATATATCATTTGCAAATATCTTCTCCCATTCAGTAGGTTGCCTTGTCATTTTATTGATGGTTTCCTTCACTGTGCAAAAGCTTTTTATTTTAGCATAGTCCTAATAGTTTAATTTTGTTTTATTTTTCTTGTCTGGGGAGACATATCTAGAAAAATGCTTCCATGGCTAATGTCAAAGAAATTACTGCCTATGTTTTCTTCAAAGAGTTTTATAGTTTCAGGTATCATATTTAGGTCTTTAATCCATTTTGTGTTTATTTTTGAGCATGGTGTAAGAAAGTGGTCCAGGTTCATTCTTTTGCATGTTGCTGTCCAGTTTTCCCAACATCATTTGTTGAAGAGATTGTCTTTTCCCTTTTGTATATTCTTCCTTCCTTTGTCATAGATTAATTGACCACATAAGCATGGGTTTATTTCTGGACTCTATTCCGTTCCCTTGATCTATGTGTCTATTTTTGTGCAGGTACCATACTGTTTGCATGCTATAGCTATATAATATATCTTGAAATCCAGAATTGTGATACCTCCAGTTTTGCTTTGGCTGTTTGGTGTCTTTCGTGGTTCCATTCAAATTTTAGGATTATTTATTCCAGTTCTGTGAAAAATGTTGTTTGTATTCTGGTACTGATTGCATTACATCTGTAGATTGTTTTAGGTACTATGGACATTTTAACAATATCAGTTCTAGCGCACCTGGGTGGCTCAGTGGGTTAAGCCTCTGCTTTCGGCTCAGGTCATGATCTCGGGGTCCTGGGATCGAGTCTTGCATTGGGCTCTCTGCTCCGCAGGGAGACTGCTTCCGCCTCTCTCTCTCTCTGCCTGCCTCTCTGCCTACTTGTGATCTTTGTCCATCAAATAAATAAATAAAATCTTTAAAAAACAAAACAAAACAAAACAATATCGGTTCTTCCAGTCCATGAGCATGGAATATCTTTCTATTTGTTTGTGTCATCGCCAATTTGTTACAGCAGTGTTTTATAGTTTTTGGAATATAGGTCTTTCATCTCCTTGGTTTATTCCTAGGAATTTTATTCTTTTTGATGTAATTGTAAATGGGATTGTTTTTAATTTTTTTCTTTCTGCTATTTCATTAGTGTATAGAAATGCAACAGTGTTCTGTATTAATTTCGTATCCTGTGACTTTACTGAAATCATTTACTCATTATGGTAGTTTTCAGGTAAAGTCTTTTGGTTTTTCTATATATAGTCTCATGTCATGTAGAAGGAAGGAAATAATAAAGATTAGAGCTGAAATAAATGAAATTGAGTCCAAAAAAAGCCACCCACAATAGAAAAGATCAATGAAACCAGGAGTTGGTTCTTTTTTTCATTATTCAAATTCAATTAATTAATAGCAGCTGGTTCTTTGCAAGGATAAACCTTCCACCAAACTGGTCAAGAAAAAAAGAGAGAGGACTCAAATAAACAGAAATCAGAAACAAAAGAGGAGATATAATGACCAACGCCACAGAAGTACAAAGGATTATAAGAGATAACTGTGAAAAATAAGATGTCAACAAATTGGACAACCTAGAAGAAGTGGATAAGTTCTTAGACACATATAACCTTCCAAAACTGATTCAAGAAAAAAAAAAAAAGAAAATTTGAACAGACTGATTATGAGCAATGAAGTGGAATCAGTAATTTAAAATTCCCAATAAACGTAGTCCAGCACCAGAAGGCTTCAGAGATGAATTCTACCTAACATTTAAAAAAGTGTTAATATCTCTTCTTCTCAAACTACTTCAGAAAATAGAAGGGGAAGAAAACCTTCCAAATTCATCTTATGACACCAGCATTACTCTGATACCAAAACCGGACAAAGACACAACAAAAGAAGAAAACTGTAGGCCAGTATCTCTGATGAACATAGATGCAAAGATCCTCAACAAAATATTAGCAAACTGAACCCAACAGTCCATTAAAAATCATTCTCCATGACTGAGTGGAATTTATTGCAGGGATGCATAAGTGGTTCAACATTCGGAAGTCAATCAACATGATACATCACATCAACAAAAGGATAAAACCCTCATGATCATCCCAATAGATGTAGAAAGAGCACTGGACAAAGTACAACATCCATTCATGATTAAAAAAAAAAAAAACCCCAACAAAGTGGATTAAGAGGGAACATGCCTCAAGAGAATAAAGGCCATTTATGAAAAACCCACAACTAACATCATACTCAATGATGAAAAACTGAGAGCTTTTCCTCTAAGAACAAAACAAGCATGACCATTCTTACCATCGTTATTCAGCATAGTGCTGGAAGTCCTAGGTGCATCAATCAGACACAAGAAGTAAAAGGCATCCAAACTGGTAAGAAACAAGTAAAACTTTCAATACATTTTACTTTTAACAATCTGAAGCTTCTAGACAAGTTGCAAGTACTGTACAGAGAACATTTCCTCAACAGTTTTGAAAGTAAGTTGCTGACATAAGACCTCATCACCGCTGACTACTATTGGTTTATTCCTGTGAACAAGAGCATTCCCTTAGAGGC